ATATGGTGATTAAATGAGTCAATCCGCGTGGCCCAAGTCAAATTAGACGGCCTCATGGTCCCCATTCTGGGTGGCCTAATGCTTCATTTCGGGCAACATATTGTCTCGTTATGGGCGACTTCATGGTCTATTTGGTTTGCCTCTTTGTTCTCAAGGCTCAATAAAATTAAACAGGTACATTATTGGTGAATTGTAGTCGTATTATTGGTGACTTGATCTAGCTTTGATCAAGGGTTTGGAGGTGGTTGAATTAAAAACAAACCATAAGGTTTGTGGGGTTATAGTTCTTCACCTCTTGTATAAATATTTTTGTAAAGATATGGTTAATTGCAAGTATCTCAATTCGATTTCGGATTGAGGGAAGTCGTACCCAAAGCGAGACCGATTGAGGAACTGCCTAAACAAATCTTTTTGTGTCTCTCTCTTTATTTCTTTATTTCTTTAATTATTATTCTTACAAATTATCGATAACAATGTTGTTTCGATTAATTCGATTAAAAATTATTTTCAACTATATTTTAAATTGTTGTTGTTGATATAATCATAATCACTTGGGTTATGATTGACTTTTAACATCAACAAAATAAATTTAATTTCCAAACGTGACCAATCGCACACAAAGTGTTCGATAAATTGTCTTTAAGTATCTTTTATCTCTTTATGTCCATTGGAAATAAGTTTTACGAATAACTTTGTATTTGATTGATATGTGAATTAATAGTTGTTGAATAATTTGTGTTCATTATCATTCCATCGGTTTTCATTACTCATATTCAAGCTTTTCGATAGTAGGTTCAAATAGACGACTCGATTCGGGTTATTTTCATTGTGCCATAAATTTTTGAAAACAAATTTTTGGCAAAAGTTTTGGTTTTAAATTTGTGATCTATTTCTGTTGTGCCATAAATTTTTGAAAATAAATTTTTGGCAAAAATTTTGTTTTTAAATTTGTGATCTATTCACCTCTATTAATTAAAAGCTTAGGGTTAAAGTTATAGATCATAGGTTTAAACCCCAACATCTGTATTTTTATTATTTACACAAACAGTGCCTTAAACCTCTCGGTTTATTTAAAAACCGAGGGTTTAGATAGTTTTTTTAAAAATAAATTCATTACATTTTTTACATAGAATATTAATAAATTAATTTGTTTACAAACTACATTGTATACACAGAATATTACATTGTTTCCACAGAATATTAAAGTACAAATATTGTTCTTCATCCTGATCACTGTCTGTGAAAAACAAATGTTGAATATCTTGAGAAGAGAAAATGTTGGGAATCCTCGTTTCATTGATATTAAGGAAGATCAAATGTTGAATGCAATATATTCTCTATGACTTTTGCATTCATTTGTTTTTTATATTAAAAAAAGGTTAAAGTGGAGGATGTAGATAGTTTCAATTGTTTCATGACGTTTCTTTGTCAGATGTAGATATCAGAAAGCCTTTATAATGAAATTTTTTTAGGAATCATGCATATCACTAATGGTAGTTTCTTGGGCGTTGATAATCTTGAAATGAACGACAAAGATTTGTTTAAGAACGATAAGTTACCGAGGTAAACATATTTTTTTAATTATATTGTTTTTCCAGAATATTGAATAAAATAATACAACAAAAATATAATTTTGATGTAAGAAGTTATCTGGTCCAGATATTGCACGCATTCAATTTTTAAAGAGTTATCTGGTCCCAACATTAAATGCATCGAACTTCTATTGAAAAAATATTTTTCTGCACTTGTAATTAATCATAAAGAATTTTTATAAGCTTCTAAATAAAACAACAACAACAACAATAACATAAACCCTATTTTGTGAGATGGATTCCAAAAGAATGATGTGATTTTTATTTCTAACGAGTTTGGAGTGAATACATATATGTTAGGATTTGGGTAAAATATGTCTAATGAGTGCTTTAATAGTAAAATGTTACGTATCTTATACCTTATTTATTAGGGAAACTGACGGGATATATCCTTTAGTTTACAAAAAATTATAATAAATAGAAATAGTTTCCTAGTTATTTTTTCCCTCGGAGTTTTTGAAAAACCAAGGTAACATGTAATTTATATTTCTAAAAAAAAATCATTGCACGCATTGGAATCATATCCACTAATGTAGCAATGATCATCCATATTCAAAAATATACCATATCTTTTGGATTTTCAAGTTATTTTAGCTTCTCTGATTGGTTCACTTTTTATTCTCATCTCCACTTTATTTAAATATCATTCATTGTTTGAAAGTCTCATTTCCAACTCTTTGTGTCTTCAAACCTAGTTTTAAAGTCTTTTTTTTTCTTCAAAAATGTCTTCAACAACCTTAGATGAAAATCTTTTATTCGTAATTAATGTAAAGTTTGTTGAATTTAATGATTTGAAAGACAAATGTTTTGATCTAAGAAAAACTATTTGCAAACAAAAGTTGAACGATTACTTTGACATTCTTAATGGGTCTATCTACATTAATCTCGTTAAAGAGTTCTAGCTAAATGTCTCCGTTGGGCCATCTGGTCATGATACTAAGTCAATCCAGTCCTATGTCAATGACTTCTCTATCACAATTACTCATTCACTTATTACTCAGACAATAAAATGTAAAGAGGAAGGTGTTTGTGTTGAGCATTATAGATTCAAAAATATCTTTAAGGATCACCATCGCCTAATTTATGCAACCAATAATAATCTCAGTTGTTTTGCTAGTCTATGACCAATTGGTAAAGTTTTGTATCAATTTTTAGTGTCAAATCTTCATCCAATAGAGAAAGAACCGGAAACACTTACTAGGAATGACAAGCATCTATTGTTATTCCTTACCAAGAACATCATAGTTAATCTTCCTTTTACCATTTTTTATTATTTAAAGGAAATGATAATCATCTCTAGGAATAAAATGACTTTCGTCATACCATATGAAAGAGTTCTTTCTGAACTTTTCTCTAAGTTAGGGATAGTTAATAGCGATACTATTGAAGTTGAGTGGAGTCAGAAATTTGAATATGTGAAATAGTTATTTGTTGTCCCGTTTTTAGTTAATGAAATATTTTCTTTCATATTATTGCCTATTCGTTTTTATTTATAACAAAAAAATTTGAGAATTACTAATTACAAAGAAAAAAATGAAAAAAAAATTAAGAAAAAAAGGAAAGATTAGAAGGCGCCAAGTGAGAAACCACTGAAAATACCTTAAATGCAGCTACTGTGATTCAAAGAGTGTTCCCTGATAGCAATGTTACGTCGGTTTTTAAAAAATACTGAGGTATTATGTTTAATATTTCTTTTTCTAGAAGAGTTGGTGCTCACTTATTGCTATATTACCTCAGTTTTATATAAAATTGAGGAAAAAGTTGTTCTAAAAAAAAATCAAACCTGACACTCTCAGGATCTACTAACTTGGTGTTTGGCATGTTTGAGGTGAAACCTTCGTCATAAAAAGTATTATTTGCAGTAGTGTCAGAAATTTTCAGCATGACCTTGAAGGTAATTACCTCTACTCTTTGGTACTTCTAGCGTAGATATAGATTTGGATAAAAGATCATTTGTTCTTTTACTAAGCGACGTTCTCGCGGAAATCATAGAGTCGAAAATTTGATGATCCGTAGTTCAAATGATGATTGATTGAATCGAATTAAAAAAAAATCTTCACATTTCATTCTGATCGCTCTTGATTTAGTGATCCACGAAGGTCACACACTAGAGAGTTTAAGAGTGAATGCAAAATTTTGGAAAACACGAGAATCATAAGTCAATTCTCACAGATGGTGTCATTGCTCCATTCTGGAACCAGAATTGGATGCAATTGGAGAAACTGAGGAACTTAAACTAGTGATGTTGATCTCCAGTGTGGCGGCGAGGAGTGGATTTGCAAAGTTAGTACTCTAACTTTCATGTCAATTCAAGATTTAAAACAAATGTAGGAAAGAGTGGAGATTAGAAAGTGTACATTATTTTTCTCATGAATTAACTTTTATGTCTTAAATTAAATGAAGTGGATTTAAGATAAACCAAGCCACAACTATTTGGATACTTGGCCGGCCTATAATATTGATTATCCTTCAAAGGAAATTTCTGAAAGAATATGAAAATATCTTCCTTGATTTAAAATTCGAGGAAGCAATGGATTAAATTAGAAGTTGCAACACCTATGTCTTGTACATGCAAAATTAGAAGTTTATGGTAATAATTGCAAAATAAATAAAGAGTACATTGATAAGAAAAATTATAAAAAAAATGCAATAGAATCTTATGTTTAGAAACAGAAATAATAAGGATATATATTAATAATGAATAAATTCAAACAAAGCAACAAAAAAGTAAATTAGAATAAGTAGAATGGAGCTATCGATATTTACTGGCTTCCATTATTTGCAAAAGTTTAAGAAAAGGATGGGCAGGAGACATTTTGGGTTTTTGTTTTGACGTTCAATGCCCGGCAGTATACACACCCTCCTCCGCCTTTTGCGGAGATTCATGCTCCCATTCTCCTCAAATAACACATTACTAATTACTCACTCACTCTTCAATATTTTAAATCACATCATAATATATTTATTAATCTTGTTATAAATAAAATTAATAAAAAATTATATTAATATTCTATTATTATTATTCTCATCTTTTCAATTTTTTATTAAATATTCTTAAGAACAATGTACTTTGAATAACAACAGTTCTATATTTATACTTTACCTATATGACACACTTTAGTAATAGTAATATAATTTATTTAATAAAAAAAATAGTAAACCCAAAATTTCTATTTGTTCTTTGGGTCTATTTAATCCCATGATAGCCTAATCTTTTTCCTTCCCTCTCTCTTTTCCCCTAACACTCTTTCCTCTCGAGTCTCAATTTCAATCCAAACCCAATTCTGATTCTAGTTTCAAGGACGTAAAAAAAACATAAACAAAACAAAAACAACCTCAAAATTAAGTTCATTTTGTTCTGTCTCGTAATTCATCATAATCTTGATCTGAAAAATCATCCTTTCCACAATGGAAAACCAGTTCTTTTTGAATGCTGGATTTGAACCGTCACTTCATTCTTCAAATTCTCCAATGCCAACATGGCAATCACTTTCTTCATCCATGGAAGTTCAACCGCCACTTCTGAATTCTTCCTCAAACCAATCCCAAGGTTGTTTTTTCAACCCGAATTGGGAAAAGTCAACGGATCAAAATCTTAACTTTGATTCAGCACTTAGTTCAATTGTCTCGTCTCCTGCATCACCGCCAATCGAGAATCCTATGATGAGAGAATTGATTGGGAAATTGGGAAGTTTTGGTGAGATCTCACAACAACATTCTAAGCTCAACAACGTTGTACCAATGATGAACCACTTAGGAGGAAAATCAATACCTGAATTTTCACCTGATCCTGGTTTTGTTCAAAGGGCTGCAAAATTTTCTTGCTTTGGTAGCAAGAGTTTCAATGAGAGAAGTACTAACCAGTTGGTGATGATGAACAATGTTGAGTTAGCTCAAAGATCTGTTAATTTAATGGAGAATGGGGCGAAGTTATTACCAAGAGTTTCGAGTAGTCCTTCGCTCAAAACAATTGGAACTCAAATGGTTAACAAAGATAACAAGAATTCACCATTGCAACAAGAATATGAGAGAATGGAAGTGGCTAATTCTCAAGAGGAATCTACAATCTCAGAGCAAAATACTCCAAATGGTAGTGAAATTGGTGCGAAAGCTTCACTTGATATGAATTCAAGGAAAAGAAAAAGTTCTTTTAAAGGAAAAGCTTCAAACTCTTCCAATCCTACCAAGGTAAAGTTCTAAAAACTTCAAATCCGCACCCGCATCAGATATTCTTACACAATTATCAATTAAACTCTTTTTTTAATGTTTTTACTATAAGCTAAAATGCATTTTTTTTTTTTATACTTTAGGGTGGTGAACACTTAAATGCAAAGAAAAGCAAGTCAAATGAGGGTGAGAAAAATGAAATTGGTGGCATAAATATAGAAGAAGATTCCAAAAAAGATGCTACTAATGAAGGGGAAGAGAAACAGAACAAGAGTAACTCAAAAGCTCCTGAACCTCAAAAAGATTACATTCATGTCAGAGCAAGAAGAGGTCAAGCTACTGACAGTCACAGCCTTGCCGAACGCGTAAGGGTTTAATCATTGAATTTAGATTAAACCGTTCAAATTTAAATATAAATTTTGATTTTTCTACTAAGCGTATTAACATTACATTAACTTGTTTATAAATAGGTTCGACGAGAGAAAATAAGCGAAAGAATGAAACTTCTTCAAGATCTGGTACCAGGTTGCAATAAGGTATCCAAAACTTAAAGTTACTAAATCAGAATATAAAACAAATCAATTTAATTTCATGTTAGTAGAATTAGTACATTTTGCTAACTTAGCTTATGCCTAAGAAATAATTGATTATTCTGTGTAGGTTACTGGAAAAGCACTTATGCTTGATGAAATTATAAATTATGTTCAGTCATTACAACGTCAAGTTGAGGTAATCAATTCTTCACCAATAAGCATTGATCTCAATTATGAAAAGTAATTATTTTTTTTGTTTTCTTGCTCATTAAGTTACTTATATTTATATTTTCTTTTCAGTTTTTGTCTATGAAATTGTCTTCTGTTAACACAAGTATTGAAAGTGTTGTTGTATCAAAAGATGTAAGTTTCAAGTCTCATTGCTTTTTCAACAAACTTTTTTGCTTTCTATTTATTTATTTTTAATATTTTTGTTGTTGTGATTTCAGATATTTCAATCAAATAATTCATTGCAAAACTCAATATTCCAATTAGATTCTCCAGCACCATCTTTTTATGAGACACAGATTCAACAAAATCAAGTTATTCATAGTAACATTCCTAATGGAAGTGGAACACATTGCTTAGTGGATTCATTGGATTCTTCTTTGTGTCATAATCTTAGCATGCATTTACCTTCTCTAAATGGGTTTAATGAAAATGGATCTCAGGTAACAAATTTTTTTCATTATTTTTCTATAAATTAAGGATAAATTGATTATTTGGTCTTTCAAACTAATAAAATTCTATAATAATTTTCAATTTTTTTTAAACTTTATTGTGTACATTTTTAATATGGACAGTCATTAGTCAAACATCATTAAATATGAATAGTGTGAATAATAGTCCCACGCGGTGACTTGAGAATTTATAAATGAGAGAATCCATATACCTATCACCTTAAGGTTTTGAGTGAGTATGTGGCGTGTCTCTCACAAAAATGTTACTCTAAAAAGGAAAAGTCTCACAATGTTCAATACTCTCTGGTTAAAAAATTTTCTCTAATAAATTATGATAACGACCAAAAATTTTAAAAATTATTTTAAAATCTGTATCAAACTATCAATTACTTAATTAATAATGTAATATAAAAGTAGATTATTCCACTACAATTTGTTTTGAACTTTTCTTAATTAATTTTTTTTTTCTAATGATTTTACAGTTTCCATTAACATTTTCTGAGGAGGACTTAAACACCATTGTACAGATGGGATTTGGCCAAACTTCAAACAGGGAAACACCAATACACTCACCAAGTTTCAACGGTAATAATAAACCAGAAAAATATATACAAAAATTAATTATTGAAATATATAAAATTTGACCTTAATAATCCAATTTATTTATTTTCCGATGCAGGTTCAAATCAAGCAACACAAATGAAAATTGAACTCTAATCACCTTTCATTACGCCTGAATTGAAGCTCAGAGGAGTAGAAAACATTTAATTCCAACAACCCCATGGATTATAATTAAGCCATTATTAATTTAGTAGAACATTTTTTAGTCTATTAAATTAGTCATTTTACTTTTTTATTTTTTTTATATTATTTTTCAGCTTCTAATCTTCTGAGCAGTTATATTTTTTTTTCCTTCAAGTTTATAAATATTCAATGTAAAATCTTAGGACCGATTCTGTATTCTATGGTGCAAAGTATTATCATTATATTGCATCCATTGTAAGATATAATACTAATTAAAGAAAATATATTCAATCAGCTTTCATTATCCCTCTACATTTTTTACTATTATATGCTTTTAATTTCAACAATTCGTACATCACATCAAATCCAAAATAGAATTTTCGTGGGTCTTGGATAAAATCTCGTTAAAGGTCAAGTCACTAATCACACAAAAAAGTCTAATTAGAAATTATCTTGCAAAATCTATTTGATGTGATTCTCATTTGTGTTGTAACCAGCTGTATTAATAGTAGGGTCTCCTTTTTATCTCAAAAGTCTAATTACAAATTATTACTAATACCTTTAATTAATAATTGTTTCTTTTTTAAGTTTTAGTCTCGAGTTCTCTGATAAAAAAAAAATTGTTTTGATTATGAATAAGATTCCTACCTGTGTTGAGATTGGTCTTTTTCAAATTAATCTGTCTTAAAGTTGAATATCCAGTTAAAAAAAAAATTGTATTTTCAATAGTGAATTCAAAACTCAGAAACATCCTATTAATTATTATTTTTTAAAATTGTATAATTAAATAATAATATTTTTTTTATGCATAAAAAGAATATTTGGTTGGCATTGGGTGAGATTATGACTAGGCCCAATGAACCTTGCATGGGGCTTTTAATATGATCTTACCAACTTTTGATATTAACTTGTGAGTAGAAAAAGGGGTTTGTAGTGGACTTCAGGTTTGGAAAGATACACTAATAAATAATATATTATTAATTAATATTTTTCTAAGGAGTTGTTAGGAAAAATCCATTGTTTTGGGTTTAACAAAAGATATTAGGGTTGTAGTCTTAACTATTTTAATATTGAAGAGTGTATTATTGGGTTGTAGATTAGTGTGTGATTTAATAATTAGAAAGATGCTTTATATGTAGTGCTATGCTAAGACAGATGTGCTTTATAATGTATTGTCATATACTTTAATTATTTTCTTTTGTAATTTTTGTTCCATTTGAAAATTAAGTGAAGTATATATAAAAAGATTTCTTATTCTAGCAATCATGTTGAAGAAATATGTTTGTTAGTGTGGAGAATCTTAACTTTAAAACAAATATGAACTAAATAATGCATAATTTTAAACTAAATTAGAAAGATCAATTAATAAAAATGTATAAGTAACTTGTCTAATTGTTTATTAATATTTTTATATAGGTTAAATTATAATTTTGTCTTTTAATTTTATCTGATTTGCGAAATTAATTTTTATGTTTTAAATTTAAATAAATTTGATATCTCTTTTATATTTTTCATAGAAAATTTATGTTTTAAATTTAAATAAATTTGATATCTCTTTTATATTTTTCATAGAAAATCAATGAGATATTTATTTTATAATTTATATTTTTATTTATAAAATTTCACAATCGTTTATATCTAATGATTTGTTAAATTTCACAAAAAAAATGTTATTTAAAAGACAACAACAATGTTAATTTTTAGTACAAAAATATAAGATTGGGATAAAAAAAAAGATTTAAATTTAAAGTAGATAATTAATTTCATAATTAAAAAATTTGTAATTAAACTTTTTATATATGAAATTGTCTAAACTCCATTAACAAATACTTAAAAAGAGTTATAAAAAAAGTTTTAGATACTCTTAAAAATATAAATATGATACTTATTAACAAACTAATTAATTATATTAATTAAAAAGTTGCATCTTACGAAAATTTTGGTTTTGTTAGCCTATTTGTGATACCATGAATTTGGCTTATTTATCTCCCTTAATTGTATTTTTCTATTTTCTTTATCTAAATGTATAACAAATTAAATGTTATGTTGTCAATAATTAAATTTTAAATTTTTTTAGGAATGATAATGGATATTCCGTGGGTAAGGTATTATAGTGTCTGTTTTCATACTCACATTTATAAAAATACAGATAATATTCTCATAAACAACAATTTTAAAATTTGTCCTCATGTTTTTTTAGACATTCCAGTGCTGGTATCCTTATCTTTTATTCACAATTATAAAAAATAACTAAAAACATCAAAACTAAATTTAAATTTGATTCAAAATCATTCGAATCAACTCATAATATATTTCAAATCATAGTATTTAGAAAAATATAACTCATATCAAATATGTTAATAAAAATGTATGTTGCAAAAATATAAAACATAATACAATTGTGTAATAGAAAAACATAATATAATCATTAATTTGTGACCTCTGAACTTATGTTCTCCATATCCTTAAAAAAAATACTTTTATATCTTATCTCTTCTTCAGTATCAGAAACTTATGACCTCTAAATATAATATAATTATTATAATAATTTTTTAAATTATTTTATCTCTTCTTCAGTATCAGAATCTTGAAAAGAACGCAATCGTTTGTCTTTTCCATGAAAATATTGATTTGATCCAATCATACCAATAGAAGTTGGAAAAAAAAACTAAACAAAAGTTTCAAATTGAAGAAATATTAATAAGCATATGAGGAGATATTTTGATAACATTAATATTTAGTTAATTGGTGTTAGATAACAAAATATCAAATGGAGATATTTTATATCATTGCATAATATTATTATATATTCTATGTTATGAGTGGATGAGAAAGAATAAAAGGAAATAGAAAAGAAGAAGAAGTTAGTAAGAAGAAAGAAAGAGGAAAAGAGAAAGAGAAGAGAAAATGGGGAAAGAAGATAAGAAAACTCATAGAAGAAGAAGTTATGGATTCATCATCATCATCATCATCAACTTCATCTCATTTACTTCATCTCCAAGGTGAGTTCCTTAGTTAGACATAACTTTGGGAAAGAAGAAAATGTATGTTTGGGAATTGAGGTTTATGTGCGAAAAACATGGTCTAAGTGTGATTTGCATGCCAATACCTGATAATCTTAATGAATTACATGCTTTATTATGTTAATCTATGTCAATTGGGGTGTTTGGATGTTGCATGATCTTGTTGGTTGGAGATTTTGACCATGTTTACCTTCCAACCGCGTTGCCGGGATTATGGATTATGCTTTAGTCACTAGGAAAGCTCAGGGGAGCTCGAGGCGAGTTATTTTCTAATAGCGTCGTCGGGTGATCCTTGGCGAACAAAAAGCAAGCTACATTGCTACCTACTCGTTGGGCGACTATGCTGTAAATTTGGTTCTGTTTGGGTCTCGTTGGAGGTTCGTCGAGCAAACCAAAGGCGAGCTAGCCTCGCTAGCTGCTCGTTAGGCGACCGTAGCAGAACTTAAGGAGATTGTTTTGTTAATTGATTGGATTTTTTCGTATGCATGTTTGGCTATGTTATGAGTTGCCTTATGCTAATTATTACGGGTTATATGCATGTTTTTTATATATAAATGGTTGCTTGTGGTTCATTGTTAACATGGATTTTAGTTTGACATTTGGTCAGGAACCTTTATACCAAAAGTCCTATTTAGCGAGGAACCTTTGTTCCAAAAGTCCTATTTTGTGAGGAGCTTGACTCTGAAAGTGCTATTTATCGTGAGACCATGAATTTAATCGAGAATGCATGATAGAGGATAATGGTGACTATATGCCTTAAGTGCATTGTTTATGTGGAGTATGTTTGACTTCTTTATATTGTTATATGTGTTGCATGTATGATGTATCTGTGGATTGGATGTTTTGATTATGATATAACATGCTTAAAACAATATAAAGATGAGTGAGGAAATCTAGACTTATAACTAGGTAAATGGATTTAAAAGATAACTTGGTTGCAAGTATGACTTAGATAACACTAGAAAGTGACATTCATGCGATATGATACCTAGGTGTGTGTCAGGGAAGAATGGTTATCATAATCGTGAGTGGGATGCATTGTATGGAACATGTGTTGTTATTGTGAGTTTAAGGTGAATGTGATCACCATGTGATTGTCGAATACGATCACGTTATATTATATTTTATCACATAGTCAAAAATAACCCCCTATTTGTGTCATCCTAAGAGTTGATGTTTATGTAGAGCTGATTTGGGATGTACGCATCATTACTTTGACATGTTTGAGTCCCCATAAGCGAATGGATCCTATGGGTAAAAGGCTTGAAATATGTAGGAAGTGGCGACTTGTAAGGACCGTGTTTTATAGAATCTGAATCCATTTGTATGTCAAAGTATGATACAAGAATGTGTGACCCGTACTGAGAGTCCTAGACGTAGGAAAGGACGGGGAAAGATGCCTTGGTATGGTTTCCGAACTAGTGATTCTCTGAGTTGATGAACTCAAGAGACATGTTTCCATACATTCTATGTTTGTGAACTCAAGTCTTATCTCTTTTTCCCCATTGGCTTGAGTTAGAATTTGATTAGAACCTTGTAAAGTCGAGTGAACCCATAAGATAGTGAAAATCACGGAGATTATATATATATATATATATATATATATATATATATATATATATATATATATATATATATATATATATATATATATATATATATATATATATATATATATATATATATATATATATATATATATATATATATATATATATATATATATATATATATATATATATATATATATATATATATATATATATATATATATATATATATATATATATATATATATATATATATATATATATATATATATATATATATATATATATATATATATATATATATATATATATATATATATATATATATATATATATATATATATATATATATATATATATATATATATATATATATATATATATTATATGGGTCGTTACA